GTCCTCAGAGTTCTTGAATCTTGACTGTTTTAGGTCCTTCTGGGAGCCCTGGCTCACACAGAACCTGGGGAAGCTTTAGAGGCAGAAGCGCGCTCACCCTTCAGGGCTCACCCTTCCCAGCCACAAGCCGTCAGCTGCTCTGCCCCACCGGTGGGGGGCGGGGAGGCCGGGAGGCGGGTCACTCGCGTGTGTGGGGTCCGCCAGCCCTCGGCGATGCATCCTGCTGCCCACCGGTGGGCGCTGCCCACGGGCAGGTGCTTCGGCAGGACCGTGCTCTTGAGGTCCCAGCATCCTGGGCCAGGATCCGCGGATTGGAGGTGTCAGCTGTCCCCTGTGCTCTCTGGTCAGTTTTTTTTTTTTTTTTTTTTTTTTTTTTTTAATTTTTTATTGGATTATAGGTTTTGGGGTACATGAGCAGAGCATGCAAGACAGTTGCGTAGGTACACACATGGCAGTGTGCTTTGCTTTTCTTCTCCCCTTCACCCACATTTGGCATTTCTCCCCAGGCTATCCCTCCCCACCTCCCCCTCCCACTGGCCCTCCCCTTTTCCCCCCAATAGACCCCAGTGTTTAGTACTCCCCTTTCTGTGTCCATGTGTTCTCATTTTTCATCACCCACCTATGAGTGAGAATATGCGGTGTTTCATTTTCTGTTCTTGTGTCAGTTTGCTGAGGATGATGTTTTCCAGATTCATCCATGTCCCTACAAACGACACAAACTCATCATTTCTGATTGCTGCATAATATTCCATGGTGTATATGTGCCACATTTTTCCAATCCAGTCTATTATCAATGGGCATTTGGGTTGATTCCAGGTCTTTGCTATTGTAAACAGTGCTGCAATGAACATTCGTGTACATGTGTCCTTATAGTAGAACGATTTATAGTCTTTTGGTCAGTTTTGAAACTGCAGTTTAACGAGTGACTGCAGGCAAATCACCGTCCGCTGCCCTGTTCATTATTTTTAAACCGGGTCTGCTTTGAATGTGCAGGAACACGCCGTTTGCCTCTGGTGGGCGCCTGTTCTCCGGCTGTGGACGTTCATCATTCCTGGGCCTCAGCCCTAGCGACGGCGCTGGCGTCATCAGCCCCCACAGCTCGCCAGCACAGGAACAGCCCCAGGAATGTGTGACCTGGGGAGCTACATCGTCAGGCTACAGGGGCCTTCCCAGAACAGAGCAGCTTATCCCACTGAGGTTCATTAAACACATTTGCCCTGTTCGGTGGATATCCCATAAGGCGTTACATGCAACCTTTAGGCCTAAATAGAAGCGCTCCAACCCTTTTCCTGCGGACTTGTGCCATTATGATGGTTAATTCTCATCATGATTGACATGGATTTTACTGAGGCTTTTGGAACGACTTATCTCCTTGAACTCTTGAAACAACCCTAGGTCCTAAGTACTATTATGGTCCCCATTTTACAGATGGGGACACTGGGGCTTGGGGAGGTGAACAGAGCTGCCCAGAGTCACCCACCCCTCCGTGACAGGGCCGGGATGGGAAGCAGCTCGCCTCGTAGCTGGATGCCTGGTGCCCAGGGGATGTTATTCTCGCTATACGAAGTGGCCCAGTCTCCGCCTCTTCTCCCTCTTGTTGGAGGGGCTGTCGGTGATCGTTGGCACCCAGTGCTGTCCAGGAAAGCAGATGAGCGAGGCTGTTAGAAAACTGAGCAAACCAGGAGCGGGCAGCCGCGGTAGGACCACCGGGCCATGCCCGCGAGGCGCGAATGAGACCCAGCACGCGGCCTTTCGTGATGTTCGATTGGGCTGTTTAGGGGGGGTCTTTTCCTTTCTGTGTTCCTCATCCAGCATCTGGTGTGGACCACACGGTACTGACAGCCGTCCGCGTGTATCAAACGCCCACTCACATCCAGCCCTTCCCGCAGGTTTTGTAGGCACCGGCTCTATTCACGCCTAGGTGTCCTTTCAAGATAGAACCAGGCTTAGGGGCGCTACGTGCCTCGCCTGAGACAGCGCATGGCACCCTGCAGGCTGCTCCCGGTAAGCCTGCAGGCCCCCGCTGCTGCTCTGGGTGGGGCCCCGGGAGGACCTGGTGAAAACCAAGGCCCGGTCCCCGCCTGCAGGAGAAGGGAACACAGGCGCCTCTCGGTCAGGAAGGGGCCCCACACTTGAGCATTTTTAGAACAGCTTCAGTGTCCGGAGACCACTGTGGCAACCCAGCGTCACCTACACTGTTATTTTAAGACTTGGATCTTTAAATCACCTCCTTTCTTTTTGAAGTACATTTATATCTAGAAGACGTATTAATCATTGCTGCAGTTAAAAAAATCAACGTCACCTGTGACAAGTTGCCGGTAACGCTAAGACGTGCACGACACACGTGAGCCCCTGAAGACGCGCACGACACATGCAAGGCCCTGAAGCCGTGCACGACACACGCGAGCCCCTGAAGCCGTGCACGACACACACGAGCCCCTGAAGACGTGCACGACACACGAGAGCCCCTGACTACACGTCAGCTTTTGGGTGCTCTGGCCCCGTGGACCCATGTTGGTTGCTGCGAGCTTTGCCCCAGGGCCACCCTCCTTTCTTAAATAGAGAGATTAGCAGGGACAGAGCCACCGTAAAGACCCACACTCTGGTCCCTTCATGTGGTCAGGAGGCTGGGAAGACGCTGGTGAAGACCTTGCTTTCTCACTGTGTCCTATGGCGAAGGCCGCCTGTACTGCTGGTATCACCCGGGGGCATCAGTGACAGGCATTCTTCCCAGCTGGCTTGAGAGGCGGGGACGGGGGGGCTTCAGGGGCCAATTCCAGGGGATTTGAGAATGGGCACCTCTCCAGTATCAGCCAGAGGAACAGGCAGCTGTCGGGGCTGCAGAGCCCACTCAGGGAGGAGGAGGTGACCCTGTGACGGATCCCATCCAGGTTCCCAGCAGAGTGCGGCTGTGTCGCCTGGAGCCCCCTTCCCACAGGGCAGTCTGGCGTCTGCAGAGTCATGGAACGTCCTCCGAGGAGGCACTGGTTTTCTCTTTTTGGGTTAACGCCAGGACGGTGTGTTCAGCAGGGATCCCAGAGGGGTTGGAAGAACCGTCTTTTGTGCCGCGGGGGAAATAAAGGTGTGTGAGGCTTCATCTTCAACCCCTTGGCTTTTCTTGGGGGACGAGGGGGCAGTTTGAATGCACGCCCAGCGCATGGGGAGTGGGAAAGACAGCTGTGCTCACAGGAAGTGGCCAGGTCCGGCTGGTGGCCCGCTGTGTGTGTGGGTGCAGGCGGCTTTCCTGCGGTTTCTTCCATGCTGGTGGCAGAGTGGCTGAGGAAGGGGCGTTCGCACCTTTGACCAGGCCCTTCCCTGCTCCCAGCTCTGAACCCTGGCGCTGCCGTAACAAATGACCACAAGCCGGGTGGCTTAGCACAATACAGATTCATTCACAGCGGTGGAGCCCGGAAGTCCGGAATCCCAGTGCCAGTAGGCCCAGCTCCCTGCCAAGGCTCTGGGGGAGGACTCTTCCTGCCTCTTGCAGCTCCTGGGGACACCAGGTGTCCTTGGCTCGTGGCTGCGTGGCTCCGATCTCCGCCTCTGTCCTCACAGCACGTTCTCCTTCTGTGTCTCCTCCCTGTCTTTTCACACGTGGACCCCAGTCACTGGGTGAGGACCCCACGCAGTGACCCTCTTTCCAAGGTCAAGGTCACAGGTCCTGAGGTTAGAACTTGGACTCATCTTTCATGAAGACACAATTCAGCCCTCCATCGCCGGGAGAGGGTGGCCACAATGGGCAGCCTGCCGTGACTCCTGGGAAGATGGACTAAGATTGGAATTTGTAGAAGGACCAGGGGTGGCATTCCAGGGCATGAGGATGACATCACAAATGCAGGCGTGCGTGATCACAGTCAAGTTTGATTCCCAGCAGCCGGGCTAGGGAGCAGAGGGTTGCCATATTTCACAGAGGAGAATAGTGAGGCCTTCCAGGAAACCAGGAGCCGCCCAAGGTACCCCAGGCTGTCAGCAGTGAGCTGGGAATGAATGTTGGGTGTGGCCACTGGGAGACCCCACCCCAGGGAAGGGATGAGTTCTGCTTCCCCCTGGAGGCACGTTTGTCCAGTGAGGCCACTGGCCTCTGTGTCTGTGGGCGGGACACCTTGGTCCCCTGGCCTCCTGACCCCTGGCTAGCCCTTGAGATGTGAGCATGGTCCCGCTGTGGCTCCTGCACGCATATGAAGTGGTGGCCCATCCTGGGCAGGTGGGACAGGCCCACCTGCGGGCTGCTGGCTTCCTCCCCGGGCTGCGAGGTTCTCGGCCTGGCCCAGGTCCCCGGAAGCCAGCCTGGACAGGACTCTGCTCGAATCAGACATGTTTACCTGGGGACCAAAGAAACATTCTTTTTAAAAAGCTGTCTTTAAAAAGTGAAGGGTAGAAAAGCACTGTCTGCTCCCCCCATGGACTGGGGACCCTGGCTCTGGAGTGTGACTTGCCTTTTCGAACTACCTCAGCCTCAGGCACACGGTCCTCCTGCCCGGGCCTCTGGGCAGCAGTGCCCTCCTGGGAGGCAGCAGCCACGCTGACAGGGGAAGTAGCCACTGGTCAACTTCATCTGATTTGCTGAGTGTGTGTACGTGTGTGTCTGCCTGTGTGCTTATGCGTGTGCACATGCATACATCTTTGCACACATTTGTGTGCCTGTGCATGTGTGTGCCATGCACATGTGTGTCCATGCATCTGTGTTTGTGTTCATATATCTGTGTGTGTGTTGTGCACATGGTGGTGGTATGTCCATGCATCTCTGTGTGCATGCATGTGTGTGTGCCATGCACATGGTGGTGGTGTGTGTCCATGCATCTGTGTGTGTGTGCATGTGTGTGTGCCATGCACATGGTGGTGGTATGTGTCCATGCATCTGTGTGTGTGTGCGTGTGTATGTGTGCATGTATGTGTGCCATGCACATGGTGGTGGTATGTGTCCATGCATCTGTGTGTGTGTGTGCATGTGTGTGTGCCATGAACATGGTGGTGGTGTGTGTTCATGCATCTGTGTGTGTGTTCATGTGTGTGTGCCGTGCACGTGGTAGTGTGTGTCCATGCATCTGTGTGTGTTCATGTGTGTGTGCCGTGCACGTGGTGGTGTGTGTCCATGCATCCCGTGCACGTGGTGGTGGTGTGTGTCCATGCATCTGTGTATGTGTGCGCCTGGGAAAGGGGCGGTGAGCAGTCAGGATGAGAGAAATGCAAGGCCACCACTGCGCTCCTGCCTGTCGGCACCTGGTACACAGGGAACACTCAGCAGTGGCCACAGCTGGCCCTTATGCCCCAGGCTACATAGTGCCTGCCAGGGCAGTAACCACCCCCTGACTGGTCAGTGAGGTTGGGGTCGTTTGATCAAAGAGGAAGAAGGGACAGGGAGCAGGGGTCTCGGGGAGCACCGCTGTGTGCTGGAAGCTGTATGTCCCGATAGGACCTGCCTCCCAGGACAACTGTGAGAAGCAAATCAGATCAGAGGAGCTTGGGCAAGGCTGCCGTGGGCACCTGCTGCTGCTGCCTGACGTGGGAATTGCCCCCGCGCTTAGTGCAGGCCACACCCCTTCCACGGCACACATGGGCAGGGGAAGCTGACGAAGCGGCAAGCACTCTGGGGATGCTGATAGGGACGGGGAGGACGCAGGCAAGAGGGGCAGCTGCTGTCATCTTGCCCACGGCCTCCCTCACCAGAGCCCAGCGCACTGCAAGATCTTGCCCCTTTCCCGGCCACCAGACAAGGTAGGGGTGCTGGGAGGTCTCCCAAAGGGTGCACCCCCCAGCCCACACCTGTAGGAACCGAAGACAGCTCTGGGGGCCTGACTCGGGCCCTCTGCTGCATTCTGGCCTTGGGGGCTTCCCGCATGGTTTGATGTGGACCCGCAGGGGGCCTGTTTCGAATCTGATGCATGCTGGGCAATGGGAGAGCCATTCTGAGAAGCCTCTGGAAAGGGTCTGTTGCTGAGATGCGGGGCTGGAGGGGCCGGGAGGTGGCTTTGGCAGCTGATGTTTAAAGGTGACTGTGCAGTGGGCCCCGTGGGGAGGTCAGGGCTGAGATGGGTTCTGAGCCTCTGGGGTCCGTGCTCTCTGGAGGCTGCAGCCCACGGAGGATACGGGGCCACTCAGCTCCTTCTCTGCTCATTCTGAAGCTCATTCTGAGTCTTAATCCACTTATCTTAATAACCCCTTTTATCTTGTGCTGGTTACTTGATTTTTCACCTGTGTGAAGCCTCTTATCTAGCCGGCTGTCACCTTTACCTGCATAGACACCCTGGGCCTCCCTTGTGGGGATGCGACTCAGCTGTTAGCTCATCTCTTCTCCTGCTTTAAGGCTCTTCTGAAACTCTCCTCTCCATCTGGGGAGTGGATTCCCTTCACCTGTGCCTTCTAGAGAAATCTGTGGCGTCTCTTTGGCTTCGGGTGATAGGAAATGTCAAAGGTGTAGAAAGGTGAAGAGGATGGTGTCCCTGCCCTGCTATCAATGGAAACCTGGCAGCTCCTGGTGGTGGAGACCCAGGCACAACGGAAGGGCCCTGGCCGTGCACATTGACTCACCCTCGCCGAGGCCGGTCCTGTTCCCCCCCCAGCACCTTGCATCCTCCTTGCCTGGTCTAGGGCCGTGCCGGGCACTCCCTGCCCCCAAGCTCACTCCCATAAATGCCGCTGCCAGCCATCCGCCTCTCTTCCGGCAGATATTGATTGTATGGGGTTTTAGTCCCAAGGGTAAATTTCTGGAAGTCCACCGTGGCTTAAAGGACACATGAGTACTTGACACCCCAATTCCAGTTCACCAATGGCCCCCGGAGAGGTCAGTGGCTGTGCCTGCGTCGACGCTGTCCCAGCCGGGCCAGCCTGGGGCTGTACACCCATAGCAGAGCTGACTGGGCTGACCCATAGCCCGGGGCACGAGACGGAGGCTGGGAGCAGGCTTTGTCACTGTGGGCTGGCCTCGGCTGTGGCTGTCCCAGCCCAGTCAGCTGGAGGTCAAGCCAGGTTGGCCAGCAGAGGCAGGAGCTGTGCCCAGCCCTGTGGCAAGCCCTGTGGGGCACAGAGTGAGTGTCAGACACATCCATTCCCAGAGCTGACGCCCGCCCCCCACCCTTGGGGCCTCTGCCAGTGTCTTCCTGGGTGGGCCCTGCCCAGCCCTAGCCCCTGACTCTGGAGCAGGCATCCAAAATTCAGGCTTCACCGTGGCTGTGCAGCCTGTACACCCACCTGGCCCCCTTGAGACAGGTGGGTCACAGGGCTGCAGTTCTGCCTTGAGGAAAACTGAAGTCCAGGACTTGAGGGTGGCTGGGAAGGATCCCAGGACAGAGCTGGAGCCTCCGCCCGCCCAGGGCTAACAAGACTCGGGCTGTGCATTTAGCTCAGGGTGGGTGGGGCAGCTCCCAAGACCCTGTGCCCTCAGCTGAGCCACCTTGAAAATCCCAGCCCCTCCACAAGACCAGCTGGGTGTGCTGGGAAGGGGCGTGAGAGGCAAATTGTAAATAGAAGCGCCAGCTCCAGCCGCAATAAGGGGCTCCTGGCTGCCGGGGACCCAGCAGTCTGTGCTGCCTTGTGCCAGACCCTGTTCAGAACAGGCTGTACAAAGGCCAACAGTCACCTCGCAAACCCCAGAGGTGTCCCAGGATCGTCCCCTCCCCAGAGAGAAGCCTGCAGCCTGGAGCTGGCCTCTCTGCAGGAACCCAGGAGTGGCCATGCGCCCAGCGGCTCAGCAGCTCTGCAGAAGGCCAGCGATGGGGTGCCGGAAATGTGGTACGATGGGAACTGGGTGCCAGAAAGACACCGGGTCCCTAGTCTCAGCCATGCCATGCCAGGTCCAGCAGCCATGCCCACAGGTAGGGGCTTCTCGCCACCACGCGCCACCCAGAGATGGCGGTGCGGGGGCACAGCTGATAAGGGCAGTTTGTCCACCTCACTGCTCTGCCCGCCCTGGTCTGAGCGCTCCGACGGAGCCACAGGAGCATGGCCTATTTCTCTTTGTACCCCTAGCTTCTGGTGAGTTGGAAGAGCCTGGGATAGAAATGACGCCCAGCCTCTGTGGGCTCCTGGGCCTGAGGCCACAGGGTCTGGCTTGGCCCTGGCAGGTCAGAGAAGTCCCCAGACGAATCCTCCCATCCGCAGATGGAACTGAGGGTGTGTTCAGAGTGTCTTTGCTGACTGTCACCCCGGGAGCATTTACAAGCCTCCCTGCAACTCTCAGCCCCCACAGAGTCACCTGGGAGTGTTGAGGCGTTGTGACCTTCCTCCGGGTAACAAAGCTAAGTGAACATGATGTGGGTGCCGGGTGCCCGCTGCCAACCACTGCAGGCCGACCGGCCTGGGTTCTGGGCCAGTCTTGGCTGGCCAGGCCCACTTCCCACCAGGGCCTCCCTCTCCTCATCTGTAAAATGCACAGGTGCTCTAAATGCCACGCTGGTCCTGCTGGTCTGGGATCTGAGGGTGCAGGCCTGTGAATGTCCTCCAGGAAGCAGCCCCCAGCTGTGACTCTCAGCTGGTGCAGGGACTCAGCCAGGTCCAGTGTTCCCAGCCCTTGAGGACACACCTCCACCCCAAGAATGTCATGGCCAGGACAGCAGGCAAGTGAGTGCCAACTCGCTGGCAGGGGTGGCTTCCAGAAGGTTCAGTGGAGGCTGTGGGGCAGAGGGAGACACTATTGGCCCGGGAGGGGGTTGTGTGACTGAGGGAATGGGGCTCTCAGAGCTGCCTGTGGGTTGCTGGCAGGGGCTGCCCGTGACAGAACTGTGGACCCTGCTGGGGCAGGTGCTGAGCTGGCACCACTGGTGGTGGAGGGAGGGGTAGGGGCTGAGGCTTCATCTGGAGGCTAGAGCCCTAGGGGAGGTTTGTCAACTGGCTAACGGGGTTGAAAAGGTGGCTTTGCCACAGGTGGTAGGAGACACAGTGGCATGGGGCCAGCGCAGGTGCATGTGGAGAGCGTGAGGGCCACACAGAGCGGGGAGGGGTGGGCTCCTGTGGCCGAGGGAGCAAAGGGTCCCTCCTGTGGGGAGTTGCAAAGGGCCACGCTGTCCCCAAAAGGCCCCCGCCGGGCTAGATGCTGTAGAAGCTGCCTGTAGTGCGCGGGACGCCGAAGTGTGTCCAGGTCCCAACCCCGGGTACCTGTGGATATGGCCTTGCTTGAAATCCAGGTCTTTGCAGGTGTAACTGAAGCTCTTGGTATGAGGCCATCCTGGAGCATCTGGGTGCAGGGGAGTGTCCTCGCAGGGCCTAGGGAATGGGCCTCGGGCCTGACCTCCGCCAGGGTGGCTGCCTGAGTGTGTTGTTGCCCCTGAGGGGTGAGTTGCGGTTGACTCCTGCAGACTCCGGACTTGCAGGATTTATAAGGGGGACGTGTTTTTCCCATTATAAAAACAATCCCCAAGAGGCAACGTCACATGTGGTGTCCCCAAAGTCAGCCCACCCGCACGTGTGGCTGCTCGCTCTGCCAGTGGCAGGTGGTGGGATTTGGGGCCGGTGTCTGCTGTGTCCATGTCTGTAGAATGGGGTCAGGCTGTGCCCAGCCCAAGCTCCCCTGCAGAGGTCGGCTGGTCCAGGCCTCGGAGCTGGGCACGTTCACTGCTGGCTGTGATCACGATCAATGCATTGACTGGTACATGAAGAGCAGTGGAAATTCCACTTCATATTTTAAAGAAACAGCACTGGTCACCCAAAGTCTGCCACTGCCAGCGTTTCTGCATGCTGTAGCTCTGCGTGACGGGGGCTTTACCATGCTGAGGGTGCCCGCCCTGCTCCCTGGCACCATGGCACCCCACTTCCCTGGGGGCTGTCAATGTCAGTGGTTTCACTGTATTCCCCAGTGTGTGAGCTGCAGAGGAGGGGACACTTTCTGTCCCCATCTGGGAGGAACCCCCCGGGCTGCAGTAAAGCAAACCCAGGGCACAGGGCCCCAGAATCATCCCATCACCCCCCAGTCACAGTGGGCTCCAAAGCCCTGCCCTTTCCCAAAAGCACCACGGGAAGCCAGGAAAGAACCGGGCCAGGCCCTGGCCAGCAGTCTGCGTTCATGTCCAAACCCACCGGTCCTGGACACTGCGTGGACGTGGAAGCAGACAAGGTGTGGCCTTTGGTGTCAGGCTCCTTTCACTTGACACGTTTCTGCGGCTCATCGGGGCTGAGGCGTGTATGAGTGCAGCACTTCCTTCCTCTCGGAGGCCGAATACGCCCATCGCGCAGACGGGTCATCTATTTATCATTCACCTGCGTGGACGTCTGGCCGTGTCCGCTTTCTGATGGCCCTGCGCCGTGTGCTGGGAGCACGCCTGCGTGTGCCACCCGGGGCGTTCGCTCATTTCTCTGGGGTGTGTTGCGTCTGCGCGTTTTCGCCCACAGTGCAGCCCCCTGGGCCCCTGGGGCCTGGTCACCTGTCTATGCACTGGGCTGTACCTGCCTCCCACCCCGCTCTGCAGGCACCAGGATGGTCCAGACCGAGACGCAGGGTCCCGAGGGGCTCTGCTCACACACACACCCGCGTGCCGGCTCCCGTCCTGGGTGTCGGGTTTGTCCTTTTCCTCCTACCTCACTGTTTCTGTGTGTGCAGAGGGTGGACAGTCATTGCCTTATACCTGCCAGGCTGCGTGGGGCTTAGGGATTCCCAGGTGAGATGAGACCTGTCGATCTGCCAGCCTCCCCTCCTACACAGGACTTCCTTCCAGGCCCCGAGGACACGCAGGCAGGACAGGTCTCCACAGGAGCGGGTCTTAAATGGAGAGGTAGAGGCAGGAAAC